GCTATCATTTGTGCAATAGTGAAAAAATCTTGTAACTTTGCGTGGGCTTTAAAGTAGGTGCCGAGCAGTCCTAGAAATGGGCTTTCACTTCACGGATGGTCAACCACGAAGGGCAACTTCCAAACATATCCCAACAACGAATCGATGAATTGATGTCTTCGTCCGTAGCACATCGCAATTTATATTGCTTGTATATTTACATACATCTAATGGTGCTAGCAAATACAAGATACAATACAAACACCTCCCGTACGAGTCTCCGCGTGCAACTATGCAACGGTCTTCTTTCCCTGGCCAGCGAAACTATTCCTCCGACTAGCAACTGGCGTCCTAACCGGGGTGCGATTCGGCGTAGCCTGCCCAGCATAACTCTGCTGCCTACTCCCCAACGCATGTCTCGTCCTCAAATCCTGCTGCGATCTCACATACGAATTGGCTCTCACCGCGCTCGCTCGTCTCTGGCTCTCAGACGGAATCTTCGACAGGCGGCGTCCAAAATTCTCTTGCTCATTGCGGGCATCGGATAGTTGTTGGGCGAAAGGCGAGCGCTTACGGAGGACGGGTCCTTTCCAGTAGATTACGTAGACGGCGAGGACGAGAAGGAAGGCGATACAGGCGAGGATTGTGGAGGCATAGGCGAGGGGATTACTGCCAATATCTGGGGAAGAGAATTAGTATCTCTTGTAGGGCAAATGGGGGAAGAAGCTCACTTGTGAAGAATGGAGTTGCTGGGATGGTGAGGACACCAGCGAGGAAATCTCTGGACCAGCCATTTCCTCCGGTAGCTGATGCGGAGTATGGACCGTACGCGCAGATCATGTAATCGATGGTAGCCATGTATATGCTGTAATTGGCGATACCAACGATGGCTGCGAAAACCATAGATCCGATCCAGTGGATCGGTGGGCCAGTTGAAGTCCATGCAAATCCAATAAGGCCGATAGGTAGACATGGGGCTGTGTATAAAAGCCACCAAAGACGAGATTCGTACTGCACTCTTTCATCATCTGGCTTTGCATGGCGTTCTTGAATATTACGCTTGATGACTGGAATGAACGAGATCCAAGCAATAACATATCCAATGCCAATCGGAATGAATGCCAACCCAAGAGCAACAGTGCTGAAGTGCCATTGATCATACACCAAAGCGAAAGATTGGATGAACATGAAGATAAGAGCATCACTGAAGCCACTCAGAAGTGACAGCGTTAGGACGATAGGCTCAGTCAAAAACATCTTGAATGGACGAATCCATGTGACCAGGATTTCCTTGGCTGAGAATCGGTCTCGGAATGGGACGAGTTCGTTGGGCCCATAGATGTTCTTGTCAACATCCGTCTTGCGTCTCTTCTTGGCGATCTTGTCCATCATGATGGTTGATCTGGTCTCGGGGACGAAGAAGAAGTGGAGGGCCTGGACGAAACCACCAAAGATGAGTTGAATCCAGATTGACCAGTGCCAGGAAAGGTAGGCCTCGCTGAATCCACCAACAATGGGCCCGAGGATCGAGCCACCAACTGAAGAGAAGACAACGAAAGCGACTGCGTATTGTTGGTTGTCGGCTTCCCACATATCTGCAATCATTCCGAGTGTAACCGATCCACCAGCAGAGGAGATACCACCTAGAGCTCTGCCTACCATGATTGTGCCAAAATTCGGTGCGAGAGCTACAGGAAGCTGCCAGATGTTGACCAGCAGCAAACTGAGTTGGAGAATTGGCCATCGTCCGAGCTCCTCACTCCATGGCGCCCAGAGTTCGCATCCGAAGGCGTATAAGACCAGGAAAATCATTGCACCACATCTTGCTGCTTGTGCGCTGACATTAAATTTTTCCGTTATTCCAGGAATGGCATTCGAGTAGAGACTGGTATTGAAGTTCATAGATACTTGGACAAGGAAGATGATGGTGAGGATTGTCCTGAGATGAGTTGTAAGTCGCAGGTTTCGCAGATTTATTTCAAATTCTTACCATTTCTTCCACTCTGGGAATGAATATCCGAGCTCATCATAGCACATATCCTCCGTGAGCTCTACCTTGTCATATGTGCCAACCTGTTTGGCATCTGGAAAGTCATCTGCATTGCCAGAGCCGTGCGTTGGTGGCATGAACACTTGGTTCTCACCGAAGCGTGGGTGGTGGGAGGCGCGAGGTTCAATATCTTCGTTTTTTTCTGTAGGTGGCGTATCATGTTCCGCTCTGGTTGTGGATGAAGTCTCCGACTCGTTAATTCTCTTTTCGTTCATTGTTTCGTCTTGTAAGCTTTCGTTAACTGGCGCTGCTTGAGCGCTCTTCTCTGCAGGGTTCTCCATGATGTGGTTTTGATGATGTCGAGACGACGAAGTGTGTTGTGAAAATCCTCAAGATATCGAGGTGCATGTGGGGTCTACCACTAATAGCTCATTCAATTCTCGACTAGTATCAGGCCGGCTGAGATCCAAACACACAGTGCAGAGAGCAATAGAGAAAAAAAATAGAAAAGGGGATGGGACTCTTTAAAGATCAGAGGAACCATGGGATGGCCCGCTCATAACATTTGAGACCACAACGACCGACAGTAAAAAAACTGTGGTTCCGACATCTCGAAATACGTCATATCCTGTATGAGGAGGTGTAGGCCACCACTTGGAGAGCGAGGAAGCCTTTGGTCAAGGCCAGCCCGAAATGCTTAGTCGCCTTGCTAGAAGCTTAGTTCGACTTCGAAGCGACGGGTCTCACACTAGAGGGCACTACCCGAAGCAGGTCTTGTGCCATTTGATAGACTGATCCGAGCTTCATGGAATTCACTCTAAAGATACTTCAGAAGTATAGAAACGACCAAGCTTGGAATACTTTCCCATTGAAGTGGAATTGTGTTTCGTTGTCAGGTGAAATGCAATTAAAAGTTGGTATCATGAGAAGTGGGGTTGCATCCGGACAGTTCGAATGAGGAAGTCCAACAACCATATACTGTACTTGCTTTGACGTGAGAGATCGGCAAAATGAATCGGTAAGCCGACCTAGCTTTGCAGGTCATGTACTCATCAGAATTCGGGCAACAGGCAGCTTGTTGCTCCAAGTATGCCAAAATTTGAAAGGCAATCGGCGATAGCCAATGCTATGACGTAGATCGTTTGCAAGAACTCCAGAAATTCTCATCCAAATCCCGATGCCACTGTCTCACACCAACATTTGCATGCAGGTGAGATGCGGATGCGGCGTATGCTTGTAGATGAGGCGATAAAACCTGTATGATGAGGTAGGCTCGGCGGTATTTTTTGTGGGCGGGTGGCTACTGTTTTGCTGTGATTTGATGTTGATCTTGCCTCTCGCAACGAGAAGTACCGTCTTGGCTGCTTTGAGCCTCAGATCTGCAATCTCTGTATTTGAAGGCCCAATCATAAACGTGCGCTACCGGGTATGCGTCTCGAAATGTTGGCAAATACCAACAAGGGAGGGTAGCTCGTGGTGCTTCTTGTTTCGATATCTGGATATTTGAAGAAGCTCTCTTAGAAAATTCAATTCGCCTCCATTAATCGATTGATTTGACTGGCCAGACCGAATAGACGCTCATAGTAATGGACATGAATCGCAAATTTCGATACTAATCAAGGGGTGGTGAGGCGAGGACGGCCGTTTTCATGATCGTAATGCGGATCGATGTGTCCTGTGGACTGCGTATGAGCTACTGCACTCCATTCCTTCAAAAGGTTGCAGTCTTCGGCCTCCCCGCATTTTGACATCTAAAATGTCATGAGCGATTATGATGAGGTAAGATTGCTAGAGCGGGTGTTGCAGTGCGGGGTATTGGGGTGTTGGTTTCATTGCTTGGTGACGTCGATGAAGTTGATGTGGAACAAAACGTAGAACGAAATTCAGGTCACATGAGGTGCACATGATGAGAATTCGTTTTGAGGCAGTAGTTGAGAAAGGTATGAACTACAGTTACTTAGCTGCCACGGGCATGTGATTTCCCTTGACTTATATTCATCGTTCAAGGGAAAGGCGTTACACTCCCAGGCCTTCTTCCTGGGAAGTGTAATACGCGAGTTGCAGCAATCATGACGCAAACAACGAGACTTTGCCCATGTTGCTTGAGGTCTAATTAGCAGGCATGTCAACTTCGGCGGAAATGTATTGCTACAAACTCAGTACATAAGGATTAAAAAAATGTACTGGAAGCAGATGTATCGGCATTGCACGAACAGGTTATTCGACCCTTGACTTGGTATCCCTCTGAGTTGCTAAAGAGCCAGCTATGCATAGTACTACGTATGGAAAGACTTCCCAAACAAATTTATTGGAAGCCAGAGACAAAATATTGCCCTGGGTTGGGGACATGTCAATACCTTACTTCACGGTTCTGTCTTCCTCATACTAACACACCCTGAAAAGCTCGCCTAATATAGAGCGCCTCGAACACCAGGAATCGGTGGAATTGCTGGCTAAAATTTACAATTTGTCGCAACTGAACCATTTACATGATATGCAGCACAGTGTAGAAAGGTTATGCAAAGAGGAATATTTGCAATTTCATGATTATTGGTTAGAAAGTGACAATGTCCAGATCGCATTCCAGGAAATACCAATAAGTTTGTGGACTGCCCCGCTGCTAAAGTGCACACGAAGTATTATCGCAAACCACAAGCTCTTGATTCTGAGCTCCATGTTGTGATTTCAGGACAGTAAATGAACAATGAGATAGTTTTATCTATTAAGGCTTGCACACATATCTTGACATGCAGTTGTGGAAAGGGTGAAAACGGTTTCATGCCCTGCGGCTAGCTAAGTGCTGGGAGCACTGTGCTGCTCGGCAGAGAATATCACGACCAGATCAATGAAAACATTATTACAAATTCTGCTGATCATCTGTTCGTCAAATACTGATAGGGGCCAAAACTTGATGATATGTAGTCTCCTCCTCAATCTCTGCTCGTCGCTTGAGCCCCATGAATGTTTCCTGGAACTCAACAACTAGGACATAACAGCATCCAAAAAAAGGCAAAAAGAAACACCTCTATCCTGTCCTCGGAGAGACTCGAACTCTCGACCTTTGGATGGCCCCTGAAGTGCGACTTCAGGATCATATTTAGCATATGAGACCAACGCTCTAACCAACTGAGCCACGAAGACTTGTCTCTTGGACGTGTGATGTCACAGAAACTCTTATCTGGCTAAGTAAAGCCAATAGTAATTTGAGCGGCAAAACTTCACCCCACTCCATGACTAAGAAGTAGCGCCGAGAGGTGGCGACGGGGACCGGCCCTTGTCCAAATGCTCACAAAGACTTGCGAAGAGAACATAGAACCGAGCACATCGTATATTAAAGTAGCTCTGTATATACCACAGCCGTTTCTTGACTATTCATTCCATTATGGAGAGGTCCTGTGTTCTGCTGAAAAGCTTTGAAATTATGGTGGATGCGATACGATACTACTGAAGCGTACCCCTTTTCCATCTAGCCGAGAATTTAACACTTCACTGAAAGAACCGCAGAGGTCACAATTGAGATATGCATAAAGAAATGTTTTCATGCTGTACTGTTAACTTTAACTTCACGATCCAATCAATCTAATTATTTCCCCTTTCCTGCTGAAGCCTTCTTTCTCCTGGAAGATGTCTCATACGGAAGCGCGGGGTACAAACCAACCCCTCTTCAACCACACAATACGATTGGAACGGCGGACAGTCGCAACTCGCAAGAAGCCGAAGACCTGGGGATAATCCGTACACCATTCTTCAAACGGAAGTCAAGTCGTATATCGAATCATGTGTGCAAACTTCAATTCGGCTTCTTCGGAACAGCACAGCTCACTCAGTCAGAAACCGAGGGCGAACCATCTCATCTTTATGAGAGTTCGCAGCGTTTGAACTCGTCACCCCCATTTGATCTCTTACAGTCTGACATCATCAAAGGCAAATGCCGAATTTACAGTTCAAACTTACTCGTCATGAATGGGAAGCGTTGACATCTCTTGGGCCAAAACAATTCAGTCTGATCTTCTTCAGGCCCCATGATAATTCAGACACAACCTTAAAAGCTCCAGCGAAACGCTCACATGTGGCAAACCATAGACGCCCATAAGTTCTAGAACTCTGCAAGTCTCCAACGGCGTCATCGACGGCGGCACTCACCCAAACTTAAGCTCCGGAATCTAGTTGGACCACCAGACTGGCCTCGTTTGAAACCCCAGTGGATCTCTAAATATATCTGCCCTTCTAAGGTTTCATCCGGATCTGTCAGGACACCCAGACTTCCCCTTCACCGGATGCCGGGACGATGCTTGGTTCAGAAGTTCGAGCGCTTGATGAGGATGAAGCGTTGCCACTTGATCGAGAGGACATCGTTGTTTCCGTGCGCGCGCTGGAATGTCGTATTTTCTTCCCCCTTTGCCGCGTCAGACTTTAGCCAAAACGGAGAGAAAAGAGTTTCATCCACAAAAGATTGTGGCTTAGACCGACTGACACGCCGTCGGTGGCCCCCATCGTGGAGTGAGACGGGAACGATTGGGTAGCGTGAGCGATCAGGGTCTGGGTTCCTGACTTGACTTGCTAGGGAGCTAGACTCAGAGTAATTTTCCTGCGGCATGAGGAGAGGCGTTGAGGGGGTGGAAGAGGAGAGGAGCAGAGAGGGTAGGATAGGGTAGAATAATCATTTGCAGCGACAAGAGAGAGGAGAGAAAAGGATAGGCCAGGACAGGGGCCTCACTGGCATGTAAATGATGCAGGGCAAATGCAGGCAAATGCAAGTCAAGTGGCGGGTCTTGGCAGAGATATCGAATCGCGCTTGATAGGGAGGCCAGGACAGGACAGGTACTGACTGTACTCTACAGTACGGGATAACACCAGGTCAACCAGCCAGGCCCAAGATTGTCATCCAACGAAATAATAATATCATATCAGGCCATCCCAGCCCTCCCCCGGACTTTTGATAAATATTGTGTGTACTGTATCTATCGACATACAAAACGGTACATTCGCATCGCATCACATTGCATTGAATCGCTTTACACCTTCTTTCTTTGTTCCGCATCTGCTGCTGCACAACCCACCATTTCCTTCTGCAGCACACCTTCCAACTGCATGAATTAATACGGTTCGATACATCCTGTCCTTCCTATCCCACGTTCGACGTTGTTATCTCCTTCCCAACCCAACCTTCTCCTCTCAATCCAGGCCAGGAACCCAGTCCCTTCCTAATCCACTCTTTCTCCGGCCCTCCCTCCCACTGATCGTCCTCGACAACACAGGACTTTTCAGCCACCACCCATCCACACCAGGATCACCTCATTCTCTCACGGCCTTGAAATCCCAATAGCATTGGATCTCCCGGGTTCTGCTGTTTCTGATCTCCTTTCTACACCCGACTGTCGCTACTGTCACTTGTGACATTACTCGGACCAGGAACCTGCCACTCTTGGATAAATTCACAAATTGGGTGGCTTGCTATTCTCTCGGCGACAATAACAACAATACCAACCCCGCCAATCTCACCGATTTCCTTCCTCATCGAATCCTTCACCTTCGGATACACCAATTCGATCCATAAACCGCAAAAATGAATATCAACAAGAAGCTCGACAGGGTCAAGCAATGGGCAGGGGAGAAGATGGGACAGGAGTCCAAGACCGGCGTGTCTGAAGAATTCAAAGCTCTGGAGATGGAGATGGCCTTGAGACATGAAGGTAAGGCCACCCGATTTGCGGGAATGGCAGATGCTGACAGTATACAGGTATGGAGAAATTGCAAAAGTCAATGACCGTCTACGTCAAGTCCCTCTCGAGACGCAACGAAGTCGAAGATAAGGAGAAGGTTCTGCCAGTGGGATATCTGGGTCAGACGATGATACACCACGGCGAGGATTTCGAGCCGGATTCGGAGTTTGGAAATTGTCTCATAAGTACGTATATCTGGCTAGATGGCATAGGTGTGTACTGACTGGGATAGGCATGGGAAGAGCAAATGAGAGAATTGCCCGGACACAGGAGAGTTACGTGGCCAATGTCACAACAGGATGGTTGGAGTCCCTGGAACGATCATTGGCGATGATGAAGGAATACCAGGTATGGATATGCGGTCGCTTTGTTTACAATTACTGACTTCGGCAGGCTGCACGGAAGAAGCTTGAACAGCGTCGCCTAGCATATGATGCTTCCCTTTCGAAGATGCAGAAGGCGAAGAGAGAGGACTTCCGGGTCGAAGAGGAACTCCGTTCGCAGAAGGCCAAATACGAAGAGTCCAACGAGGATGTTTTCAGACGTATGCAGGATATCAAGGAAGCCGAGGCAGAGAGTGTTGCAGATTTGGGCGCATTCTTAGAGTCCGAATTGGAGTACTATGACAGATGTCGCGATGAACTTCTCCGATTGAAGAGAGATTGGCCTGCTGGGTATGCTCAAACATCTCATTCGGCGTAACTTGCTAACATAAATAGACAAACCTCTCCTCACCGAGATTCGAGACGACCAAACCCAAGATCCCGATCCAACACAGCTCATTCCTACAGCGAGAGATACCAGGAGGAGGCCCCGCCAATGCCAGAACCAGAAGTCAGACCTACCATTAGATCTCAAGGCCGTGTTCCATCCTCTTCCCGCCTTGATACCCGTCTCGATACACACGACGAATACCCTCAAGCCGAGTCTCCAAATAGGCCCAACTTTGGTCGTGCATCCACATTCCAAGGTCCAATTGCCATCTACCGTGAATCCACACCAGTTTCGGGCTATCGGAAGCAGTCTGTTCCTCAAGACCCAGGTTCTCTACGCGCACAACTTCGGCCTTCCAGCAGAGTCAATACAAGCGGTCCTGATGTTTTCGGTGATCCTTCCGATGACTCTACATTGAACAGCGCCAGCCCCGATCGATCTTACAGCGCTAGGTCTGTCAGTCCAGCAACTTCACATGGAAGTGTTGGAAGCAGAACCGCCAGCTACACAACCTTGAATAATGCTACGAACGGTCGAAAGGCCCCTCCACCACCACCCAGCAGAGCAAAGAAGCCACCTCCACCTCCACCAATGAAGCGGGCCGAGATCAGCTCTGGCAGCATCAATAGGTACTAGACAACTTACACCTTCTTTCGTCATTTCGACTCGGTGCGACACATAAAAGCGAATCCCGGGGCATCTTTCTCCTTTCTCTTTCAAAAGCGCTGGGATTTTATATCGTTCGCTCCTTTAATGCACATATTTGGTTTGCGACTCTGATGGTGGGCAATCGTGTAAGATGGTTGAAGCGGATGGATGGATGGATAGCGATACCCAAATTGGCATTGTGCTGGCTGTCCTTGGTTTTCAACTACTTTCCTACCCTTGGCAGTAAGGGCTTTTCTTTTGTGACACGGACGGGGTAGACCTCAGGATTATTAAATTGGTATTGCGAAGTCTCTCGCAGCATTTTTGACGGCGTTCTTCTTTGATGGATGGTTATGTCTGGTTCTTGCTTGTTAAGTCGGACGGCATTCTCAAGCGTGGAGGACATGGACCATCTCGGCTGGTCTTTTTGCATGGCTAGGAGAGAGCGAGACCATTGGCAGATTCATGGGGTGAGTTGAGCTGGGCTGAAGAGAGATCAGGAGAGTTAAGTGGCATGCATGTGTTTAGGTCAGAGATCATTGTTTGATACGCGACTAATACAGATGTATCTTTTTGTAGTCTGTTGTTACCGTTACCGTGCTTCTGTATTTTCGGGCAGGCACAGATGTGACTTCATTCACGGAGAGGTAGCGTAAGTGCCCTGATTGATAAAGTTGATAGAGGCTTTGAGTTGAAGGGCAGAGAGAATGGCTTGCAAGCTGGATAGTATGGGAAGGATTTCACGTATCCTCCTGCTGTTTGTTCGATTTGATAGGTGATGGTTTGGTGGGAGTGAGGAAGTATTCTATTGTCCACCTTTGACTGTCTTGTGCCGTATATGGCAGATATAATCGTCTTCAGCCATTGGTTTAGCTAGATCCGGAACCGTACGTATATCGCATACAAGTAGGGAAGTTTCGAGTTTGTTGAGATGTGTTGTTTGGGATGGATCTATCCCGCGAGAAGGGAGGAGGGAGGAGGGAGGAGGGGGAAGTATGATATGCGTATGGGCATAAGTATGTGGGATTAGGGCCATACAATCCTATTCAACATTTG